TGGGGGAACTGCGTCGACGAAGGTGCCGGTGGATCTCCAAGATGCCATCTCCTGCTCCATGGCAGCTATCCACTGTGAGGCCCAGGGTCCCGAAGTCGCCTCAGCGTAAGTGCGAGGGGTCGGGATGTCGAAAGCGTCTGGGTCACCCTCAGGGACTAGCAGCATGGAACAGAGATGGGGAGCAGCCTCGGAGAGGAAAGCAAGCTCGAACTGGCGGTCCTCCAGGACGTCATTGCCAAGGGCAGGAGCACCCCCGACAGACGGAGGACAGGCAGGGTCAGAGACCAGAGCTGTGGCGTAGTCAAGGCGGCGGGTAGAGGCGAAGTCAGCGACAGCAGCGACAAGAGCGTCAAGGCACGAGACCGGAACAGACGGGTCGGTAACGAGAGAGGCAAGGACCCGAGGAACAAGGGGACGAGCGGCACGAAGGTAGTCAGCGGGGGGGGTGCAATAACAAGGGAGGACGGAGGAGGCGACGGCAGAAGGGGAGGACGAGACGCGTGGGAACGAAGCAACATAGGGTGGGAGCGCAAGACAGGCGAGGCAGGACGAGCACGGGAGGGACGGTGAGACCAGACGTGCGACGGAGGAGTCGGGTCAGGAGACAGAGGAGGGGACACAGGAGGGGAACGAGGGGGGAGACAGGCCGGGGACGAGTCCGGCGGAGGGAAAACAGGGCCGTAAACAGGAAGAGGAGGAGACGGTCGGGGAGGAACCGACGCAGGGTCGGGGGACGGAAGGCTGAGCAGGCGAAGGGCTGACACCGGCGGGGACTGCTGCTGCGGCGGCACAACGGCGACACCTGGACCGCAAGCTGCTCCTCGGCTACCACCGGCACTCTCCACACCAGCACCCCCAGAGGGGCCACCCCCAGGGCGACCGGGACGAGCACCCCCAGAGTCAGCGAACGGGTGCTGCGACGACGGCGGCGGCGGCGACGGCGGCGGCGACGGTGGCGGCGGCAGCGACAACGACGGCTGCAGCGGCGGCAGAGGCAGTGGAGGAGGGGACTGGGGAGGGGACGCCGGGGAAGGGGCGGCCGGCGAGGACTGCACAGGAGGGCCACCAGAGTCAGAAGACTCCTCAACCGGGTCCTCCGACGGAAGGGGGGTGACGTGGGACACACCAGAGGGGGCCGGACGGGGAGGAGGAGGAGGAGGGGCAAGGACTACCGGGGAAGGAATGACCAGGAACAGGGGGGGGGTAACCGGGGGACCACGGTGGGGGAAGCGACGGTAGTAGGAGACGGACTCGTCAAAGGTGACGTCGCGAGAGTGAAAGAAGCGGTGAGACGGCGGGTGGTAAAAGTGCCAGTCGGACGCGTCAAGGGGAAAACCGAGGAAGACGCAGGGAAGGGTGCGGGCAGTGAGCTTGTCCGTGCCGGAGGCATGAACGTGCGCAAGGCAGCCCCAGACGTGGAACGCAGACGCGTCACCAGGAGACCCAGTCCACAGACGGGTCGACGAAACCTGCGGCTGCTGAGGGTGCGGCCACAGGTTAAGCTGGTGAGAAGCGTAGCGCACAGCGAACGGCCACAGAAAATGGGGTGCACCGGCATGGATCATGGAGGTGCGAGCCACCTCCATGACCAAACCGATGCGTCGCTCAGCGACCCCATTCTGCTGTGGGGAGTCCGGTAGGGTGAACGTCTGGGTGATGCCCTCCGCACGACAAAAGCGACCAAGGACACCTGAGGCAAACTCGCCACCACGGTCGGAGTGAAGACGCAAGACAGGGACACCGCAGTGGACACGCGCAGAGACAAGCCAAGGGATGAGAGCAGTAGGCACGTCAGCCTTGCGCTCCAGGGGAAAGACTGTGGTGTAGCGAGTGAATTCATCGACGAGCACAAGGAAGTAGCGCTCTCGACGCGGCCCAGGGACGGGGGCGGGGCCCCAGACGTCCAGGTGCAGGGTCTGCAGCGGCGCGGCGGTAGGGGGAAACGAGGAGGAGTGAGGGGCACGGCGAAGCCGACCCTCGACGCAAGGCGTGCAAGGTGGGGTTGGGGAGGAGGGAAACGCAGGGAGAGAACCTGGGAGACCAAGGACAAGACCGTGCTGGGACATGTGACGCAGACGCGGGAGCGCAGGGTGACCTAGCCGGTGGTGCCAAAGGAGGGTCGGGTGAGTGAGAGACCGACAAGAGCAGGCATCAGCAACCTGGGTGAGCGCTCCAGCCGCGGTGGAACGTAGTGGTGACGCCAAGGTCCTGGAGGCAGCCGACACCAACTAGGTTCCTGGAGAACGAGGGGATATGCAGACCTGTGAGAGTGCCCGAAGGAACCGCCGGACAGGGAAGGGTAGTGGAACTGCGGGCGACTACCGGACCGCCGGAGGGGTCAGCAAGAGAAACGGTAGCAGGAACAGGAAGCGGCGTCAGGGTGGTGGAGTCGCGGAAGAAACACCGAGAAGCGCCAGAGTCCAAGGTGAAGGAAAGCGAAGCAGAGGCGTCTGGCGACGGAACGACGGCGGAAGCACCAAGACTACACAAAGCAGAGGATCCTACGCCTGACGCAGCAGGGGAGGCTACGCTAGGCACACCTACACTAGGCAACAGTGAGTAATGAGCTGGAAGCACACTAGAGTCATCAGCATATATCACATGCAGAGCAGAAACAATGGCATCCATGTCCATATCAAAGATCTGAATCTTACGACTAAGCAAACTGTGCTAGTCCGGGAGGTCTGGCGACGGGCCGAAGCGCTGACGAAAGAGGTCGTCCAGGCGACGAAAACAGCGGGGAGTGGAGTGACCGATCTTACCGCAAACGAAGCCGCGGCGAGGACCGGTCTGGATCTGGTACTGACAACGCCCGCCGCCAGAGCCACCACTCGGCACACCACCACGCGCCCGGCCACCGCCAGCGCCGGGCCACCCGGGCGGAAGGACACTCGTCTGCCGCGTCTGCGACTGCTGCTGCGGCTGCTGCGAAGGCTGCTGCAACTGCAGGGGCGGCGGTTTAGCTGGACTGGGCAGGTTCCCCTCGTCCGCTCCAGCACCAGACGACCCGACCCCACCACTACCCCCTCCCGCACCCCCGCCTCTGCCTCCGCCGCGCCCAACCTTGGGGCGGCGGCCCTTCCCCGAACGAAACTGCGCTGCAGCAGCAGTCTCAGCCACTGCGGCAGAGCCGTCGGAGAAGGTACACTGAGCGGGGGCACAACCCTGAAAGATAGGGACCGGCACGACACCGCTCGCCTGGGCGATGGAGCGGTGACGGGTCTCTATCACAGTCAGGGTGTCTACAAAGTCAGTGAGGGTGAGGTCTGCAGGGTGAAGGCTAAGGAAGCGGTCGCGGGCGACAACAAGGCGGCCAGGGAGGCGGGTGGCAAGCAGGTAGAGGGTAGAGGTAATGGGCGGCTGGTGGGCTCTAAGCTGTGCGTCAGTGCAGGCAGCGCGCCAGGTCTCATCTATCGAGCGCAGGTGGGCAGCGAGGTCAGAGACAGTGGGGAAAGATGCAAGGTCAGGAAAGAGCATCGGGAGGATCAGGCGACCCACCGAGGCAGCCGGAGGGGTGGAATAGCGCTGGATGACAGCATCTAAGTATGCCTGAGCAGTGGTGAGGGACCTAAAGCGAGGGCGCTCGGACGGGGGAAGGGCGTTGCTAATGGCAAGCTGGGCGACTGCATCGCGAGAAAGCCAGACAGAGCGCGCACGGGCAGTGGCAGCAGTAGACTCGCGCTCAGTGGGGGTGGAGTCAGCGGGCAGAATAGCAGGGGGGGTCTGGGCAGGGGAGCGTACCGTCAAGGTGTGCGGAAAGCGGTTCACCATCATGCCGCTGGCCAGTGAGTTGGCGGCGGAGGTCGGCAAGCCACGCCTCGAACTCCAGAGGCTGGCCTTCAGCGTCGAAGCGAAGCTTCGCCGCCATCAGGAACAGTGCAGTGCGGTGCAGGGCAGTGCAGCAAGGTGGAGTGCGGTGCAGTGCGGTGCAGTGCTGTACAGTGCGGTGCAGTGCGGTGCCAGGCAGTACAGTGTGGTGCGGGGCGGTACGGTGCAGGGCAGTGCAGGGCGGGGGGGGGGGGGGGGTGGGAACCGTACCAGTGAGGAGGACCGGGGCCGGGGTAGGGACGAGTGCAGGGGCCGGGCCGGTGCAACGGGGCCGGGCGGGTGCGACGGGGCCGGGCGGGCGCGACGGGGCCGGGCTGGTGCGACGGGGCCGGGCGGGTGCGTCGGGGCCGGGCTGGTGCGACGGGGCCGAGCGGGTGCGACAGGGCCGGGCCGGTGCGACGGGGTCGGGCGAGCGGGACGGTGGCCCAGGAGGGGCACGACGGGGCCAAGGAGGGGCGCACCGGGGCTGGGCGGGCGCGACGGGGCCGGACGGGTGCGACGGGGCCGGGCGGCTGCGACGGGGCCGGGCAGGGTGCAACGGGGCCGGGCGGGTGCGACGGGGCCGGGCGGGCGCGACGGGGCCGGGCTGGTGCAACGGGGCCGGGCGGGTGCGACGGGGCCGGAAGGCGTGACGGGGCCCAGGAGGGGCTCGACGGGGCCCAGGAGGGGCGCTACGGGGCCCAGGAGGGGCGATACGGGGCCCAGGAAGGGCGGTACAGGGCCCAGGAGGAGGCCAGGAGGGGCGCGACGGGACCCAGGAGGGGTCCAGGGGGGGGGGCGCGACGAGGCTTAGGGGGGGCGCTACGGGGCCCAGGAGGGGCGCGACGGGGCCCAGGAGGGGCGCTACGGGGCCCAGGAGGGGCGCGACGAGGTCCAGGAGGGGCGCTACGGAGCCCAGGAGGGGTGCGACGAAGGCCAGGAGGGGCGCTACGAGGCCTAGGAGGGGCGCGACGGGGCCCAGGAGGGGCGCGACGGGGCCCAGGAGGGGCGCGACGGGGCCCAGGAGGGGCGCTACGGGGCCCTGGAGGGGCGCGATGGGGCCCAAGAAGGGCGCGACGGGGCTAGGGGGGGTCGCGACAGGGCTAGGAGGGGGGGGCGAGCGGAAGCGGTAGGTGGGGGGGGGGGGGATCCTAACCTACGCGTGATACCATATCGGAATTAGAGAAGTGTATGGTAGAGCGAGAGAACAAACAGATATACCTAAGTGTTGTACCCTCTAAGAGGTGACCCTATACAGTCTATACAAACATGACAAATACACATGTTTGACACTTGGTTCAGTGTGGTGTGGAGGTCCAGCTTGTACCTCCTGGTAAAGAACTAGCCGTAACGGTATATGTATTAGCACGTATGAAGTGTACATCATGCACGCCCCTCTCCAGAGGCATGTGCGCGTGCCAGCAGAGCGGTAGTTTCGACATGGCTTTCCACATGGTTCAATGGTGGTGGCTGAGCATGGTGCCGGCTGTGATGAAGTCCGTATGACCCGGAGTGAACATATAAGCATGATGATGCCCCATGTGACCTGCATGACCCTCTAAATGCCCGTGGGGGTGGTCGCGATGGTGGAAGAGGTGAGTCAACATGCCTGTGGTTCACTCAGTGGTGGTGGCTGAGCATGGTGCCGGCGGTGATGATGTCCGTATGACCCGGAGTGAACATAGAAGCATGGTGGTGCCCCGCGTGGGAATGCCCGTGGGGGTGGTCGTGGTGGTGGAATAGGTGCGTGAGAATGCCCACGGCGCACAGGATCACGCCCACCACCAGCTTCTCATACCGCTCCAGCCACCCAAACTTCACCTGCGATGCGCCATAGAAGGAGAGAACCACCAGAGTGAGCATGACAAACAGGGGGTTTCAGCAGGGAGCATCAGAGAGGGCATTTCAGCGCAGTCTCTCCCACCGCCAGCATCTTGTGCTTCTCCAGCCACCCAAACTTCACCTGCAAGGCGGCATTGGAGGAAAGGGAAACTACGAACTAGTGTGAGCATGACAAATAGCGGGGATTACCCAGCAGTGAGCATGGCAGGCCAACAGTGGGGTTCAACGGTGAGCATGACCAAAAGCCACCCAAACTTCACCAGAGACTTTCTATACAACAAGAGAGCCACCAGCGTGAGCACGACAAACAGGCACGTAATCCCTAGGTAAGCTCTACCTGAGACGCGCCGCGGAAGGACAGCGCAACCAGCGTGAGCATGACAAACAGCATGGTTCAGCGGTGCACACCACAGAGGGGTGAGCATGAGCCAAGTAAATCTCACCTGAGGAACTACATAGAACGAGAGGGCCACCAGTGTGAGCATGAAAAAGAGCAAACTAAATCTCACCTGCGAAGCTCCATAGAACGAGAGGGCAACCAGCGTAAGCAAGAGAAAGGGGGGAATTCGATGGTGAGGAAACTCTACCTGAGACGCGCCGTAGAACGAGAGGGCCACCAACGTGAGCATGACAAACAGCGTGCACGCCAGCAGCACGGCCACGGCTATCGCCATGGTCCCAATCGACGCGTCACTGATCGCCAGAAACACCGGGAGGGTGGTGGCGCACGGTGAGAGCGCGGGCACCAGCACCAACCCCAGCACTGCAATCCGCTCCATCCCCTCGGGTTTCCCACTAGCCGTGGCACTCTTAGAGGAAGCAGCAGCAGCGCCGCCAGGGGAGCTGGTACCTGTGGCGGCAGCAGTGGCAGCGGCTGCAGCAGCCATGGTGGTTGGGAGGTGGGAGTGTCCGTGGCAGTGGGAGTGGGAGGGTTTGCCCCGGGTGAGGAGGAAGAGTGCGATGTAGCAGGCGCCGAGGAGCAGCAGGAGGAGCGAGGCGATGGCCTCCACGGCCTCCTCGCCTGCCAGGGTGTGCGCCATGGTGACTGCTGTGAAGCCGAGGATGGAGGTCGATAGCACGTGCAGGAACGCCCCCAGTGCAGCTGATACAGTGGGGTCGGTTGGGAGGGGGGAGAGGAAGCAAAGAGAGGGAGTTGGGATGTGAGGCGCCATGATGCCTCTCCTCAGCTTCCTCCCCTGCCAGGGTGTGCGCCATGGTGACCGCTGTGAACTCGAGGATGGACGTGGAGAGCAAGTGCAGGAAAGCACCCAGTGCAGGTGATGCAGAGGGTTGGGAGGGAGGAGAAGCGAGCAAAGGGTCATAGCTTGACCTCTCTTGAGCCTCCTCGCCTGCCAGGGTGTGCGCCATGGTGACCGCTGTGAACCCGAGGATGGACGTGGACAGATAGGACGTGCAGGAAGGCACCCAGTGCAGCTGGTTGGGAGGAGAGGAGTCACGCAGGTCCCGGGGAGGGCGGGAAGGTCAAGACTAACAGGAACGGTGGAAATGGTGTGATGGATGGTCCATTTCTGCACCCTCCCAACCCAACGAGGCTGAACGGCAACCAGCGCGTGGGCATGAGCGAGTGCACCAGCGACACTGGAGGGCTCTAGATTGTTACGGGACAGTCAGAATGCTTCTTACCAATGGCCAGAGTTGGATGAATCGTCCATTTCTGCACCCTCACCCTTCCAACAGCGCTGAACGGCAGCCGTATGAGGGGCGAGCGCAGCAGCGACATTGGAGGGATCTAATCAGCAACGGGACATGACAATTGTAACGCTTCTCTGCAGGTGCATCTGCTGTCCAGAATTCCTTACTGATGGAGAGGGTTTGATGGATCGTCCATTTCTGCACCCTTCCGACGACGCTGAACGGCAGCCAGTGCGTGGGGATGAGCGAGAGCAGCAGCGACACTGAAGGGGGTTCTAGTAACGGGGGAATATCAGAATGTGCCTTACTGATTGAGAGCGTCTGATGAATCGTCCATTTCTGCACGCGGCCGACGACGCTGAACGGCAGCCAGTGCGTGGGGATGAGCGAGTGCACCAGCGACACCGTCGCGATGCCGCCGAACGTCGACAGATTTGCCGCCGTCACCGCCATTGCTGCTCGCTACCACCCGCCGTGCACGAAATTTTCGCCAACCCGCGCGAGCAGGCGTGAGTTCCGCTACAACCCACCGCTCACGCGAATTTCGCGCGAGCCTCACACCGAGGCTCGCAGGCAGGTGCAGGCGGAATCGAGCCTCGCGGGACGATCGCAGGCAGAAAGTGACTCGCGGGGTGCGCTGTCGAACGCCACCCGATCTGAAACGAACGGACGCTAGGTGAACAGCGTGCCAGACATGAACGTTGTGATGTGGGACTTCCGTTCCGAGTGTAAGGGTGTGTCCCACGGGTACGTTTCTCGCTCAATACTTTACCGAACCGTTTCAGAACGTTATTTGGACCTTCTGACGCGTAGAGCATCTTACCCAACCGCAATCGAACAAACGTGGAGGACACGCCCTAACCGTTGAGATAGGGTGGTAGGAGAGGAAGGAGGGACGAGGACAAGCCAGTCTAGCTCTCGGTACAGATTGTTTCGACAAGATTGATTATGGTTATGAGCGGTGCAGTTGCCTGCCAGTGCGGTACCTTCTCTGAAGGCGGACCCGAGACGTGGCCAATGGTGTAAGGGCGCGGTCTGAAGTTTGGCCGAACTTTGAAGTTTTGCCAACCGACTCGCCACGTCGGCATTGCACATTGCAATGTTTGGCTGTGCGCTTCGAACTTTGGCCAACCAGCCCCTACCACACCTTGCCGGCCAGAATTCGTGCGACTGGGGTCCACGAACAGCTGCGACCGAGGGCGAAACCAGGTTTCTGCATACTTGGCCAGCCACGCCAAAGAAATGTGACGTCGACCAAGCCACAAAAGCAGCACCAACCTGCCCGGCGCACGAACAGCCGTCAAACTGCGAATGCTCCACCCTTCTTCACCAAAGCCTTCATCAGCACCCCAACCAGAAGGAGATGGCCTTAAAACCCGCGTGTTAAATTACTCAAGTTTTGTATCTTTGGTTGGAAGGTCGCTAGAAGTGCTGCCTGACAGCCAATCCTGTCTTTCCACCTAACCAACCTACCTTTTGCTGAACTGCTTTGCACAGTGTTTTTAACTTTTATTCTGGTGGAAACTTGATTTTTTTTTCAAGACAAGTTTCCCAAAGTTATCTGGAAGCTGGCCGTCAGGTGTCGCAGTCCTCTGCGACCCAGATTGTGTTCAGTCCCATATCGTTCTGTGGATCGCCTGGCGATTTGATTTGGCGCGATGGGGTTCCGTTCGCAAAATGTCGACGGCTGGTCGCCTAGTTTTTCGCATCGGGGTTGGCCAAAGTTCACGTACCACAACTTTTGCCAACAAAAACCTCAAACTTTGGCCAAACTTTCGCTGACGTGGCGAGTCGGTCGGCCAAACTTCAACTCGGCCAAACTTCAGACCGCGCTCTAAGACGGTGAGGAATGGCGTCCTGAAACTTTCACAAGCAACCAGCATAACTTGGGAGCTCCAGTCCTGGTTCCACGATCAACGCGAACCAATGATGCGCTTGCTATGCAGCTCGTTTTGCCTCGCAGTCCCTTCGTTAGGGCTGCGCGAAATGTATCTGCCCTTGAACTTTCATGACTCGTGTGGGGATGTAGATCTGAGGCGAGGTCAGTTGACTCGCGAAACACCAATAGCAGGTTACCGGGTCATGATGCGCGATGTGTGTCAAGTCGACACCCTTGGCCCAGAAACGGGCATCAGCTGGATGCAATGTGAATACGCGGTATACCGTGAACCGCTTCCGTGCAGGGAATGTAACTAGCTGAATTCGCACCTTGCTGCCTAAAGATTGCGTCCAGCAATGCATGGCTGAAAGTTCTAGATTGCTTGCCAGGCAGAGCTCTTGCTGCCATGGCGTTTTCTAACTTCGTCCTTACAGTAGTAGGAATTGGCGCGGCGGTTGTATTGCTGAAAGGAGACGTGAAGAGGACAGCCACGACCCTCAGACGGAACGTTAGGCAAATGAGAGTATGGCTGGAGGAGGAAGAAGCGGCCGTTAAAAAGTGAGAGTCCTTGCCCTATGACTGTAGAACACCTGGTTTATGTCCCGTCCTTCGCGCTGAACTCTCGTTCGACTATCGCTCGGTAAAATTACAACCCGTTTGTCAGTCGTTTGTTACGCGCTGATACTCGATATTGCTGGATCGCGTCGTCCAGTTACCCGCACGCTGCTGATCTGCTGGCTCACGATTTGGTGCCGCTACCCTGTCGATTTCCTTGCCAGGTCGCTGAAAGAGACTCCCAAGCAGATCGGGAAGCAGTCTCTCGAATCTGCTACTGGAAAGGGCGATGGGAAACACGACCGCAGCTAGATGCTGCGTTGCTGACCGCGTATCACTCCCTTGTCGCTTCCCTCGCCAGGTCGCTGAAAGAGACCCCCAAGCAGATTGAGAAGGAGTCGCACGAATCCGCTACAGGAAAGAGCGATGCGAAACATGACCGCAGCTAGGAGCGGGGCACGCATTCGCTGTCCTCGCCATTACATATGACTAGGTAGGTACTCAGTGATAGTGACTGGATGCCTGGTCGTCCCGCAGTATGGGAAGCACTATCGACGACCCCAGCTAAGAGTGGGGCACTGGATTTCCGTCTTTGCCACCAAGCATGACTAGGAAGGTACTCACCAAAACTGGACGGACGCCTAGTCCTCCCACAGTAGGCGCTTATCCTTAACGCACTCTGATATGCTCATGGTCGCACAATCGTTTAGCACTCTCTCTCAACGAACATCAATCACAAATACTCTGCATCCTCTTCACTTCCCCCACTCTCCCCCCTTCCCCCCCCTCTCCTCTCTCTCTCTCGGTCTCTCTCTCTCTCTCTCTCTCTCTCTCTCTCTCTCTCTCTCTCTCTCTCTCTCTCTCTCTCTCTCTCTCTCATTCTCTGACACTTCTCCTTCTCCTCCCTGCTCCCCCCGGTTCCGCTCTTGCACTTTTCAAAAATCTTTTTCCTCACTCATTTCCCTTCCGCCATCCATCCTTCCCTATTCCTCTCCTGTTCTCCCTCCTAGCGCAGAACTATATTCCCTATGCGTATGTCATGCCCGAGTCATGTATTTACCCGCCCGCTTAGCCACCCTCTCCCTTTCTCCCCCCCCCCCGCCCCCCCCCCCCCCAAGCCCCCCCCCCCACCACACCACACCACATCCTTTTGTTGCAGGTTTAATATCTTCGCCTGTTTTTGTATGACGCCTGAGCACCTCTCTGTGAAGGTGGTGTTTGGAGATACTTTTCCAGACAAAAAAGTGGTGCATTAGAAACCGTATTTTTTAGGGGACTTTGTGAAGAAATTTTTTTTACTGTCTAGGGTTTGCGGTGCGGCCTACTATGTCGTCTCTTGTTGTTGCCTAAGGAGCTTTTGCTGTTTATGTTGTGCAGATTATCATAACATCTTTGGTTAGAAACACGTATTTCTATGATAACCTTTTCCTTTATTTAAACAAGTTCTCCGTTGTTCCCTCGCACCCTGTCACACCTCTTAGTATCCCGTCGCATCTTGCCACACCCTTCGGCCTACACACTTCCCAACCTCCACAAAACTCCGCATTCTTGTAGCCCTCGCCCTCCCCTTGTATCTCCTCTTTCCCCGGACCTCTTCCTCACTCCCAGTCCAAATCCTCAAACCTCCCGGACCTCGTACTCCTCACATTTCGTTTCTCGCATCTCATTTCTCCTCGCATCTAGTTTCTCCTCACATCTGAGATGAGGGTCGAGTTCACACACTGCGTGCGCCGCTACTACGTCGCATGGAGCAGCAAGTGAAACATAATGTGCACTCAGCCTTGTCCGCCTGTTGACATATTTGATACGTGTGCGCGCGCAAACGTGACCCATGTACGAAGTTAGGTGGAGCGCGTGGGTCAGTCTTCACGTGCGTAGTTCAGAATGAGCGTGGAAACTCAATAGCAGTACGCTAAACCTGACCCGAACCAGGCCTGGAGTTTTCCCCCCGCATCCTGCTGTGGACAGATCCATTCAGTACGCTTCCTTTCAATGGTGACAATGTATTGCTGTATTCACAAGTCCACAGCATCAACAATCAGCAACCAGGATCGCATCCTTGTTTCCTGAAGCCACATCACGAAGAGCAAGTCTCGTGATGCTAACGGCTGCGCCACACCTTGAGAGCTGATTGTAGGTGCCATATCCCCGGCTACGGTCTCTTGTGGACTCCAAATACCATCTCGGAGATGAAACATGGCACCCGATTACACCGTGCATGCGAGGTTGACGAGGATGCTACCCCTGGTACATAGAAACGAAACGGAAGGGAGACAAATGAGACCAACGCATAAATCACCCTAAGGGGTACGATTGAATTAGAGCAGAATCAGAAATTCCGCTTGCGCGACAATGTTACAGGTCTAAGGTGTTACCTCTGGGTGTGGCTGGTGAAAGCCTTGGCGTCGGAGAAGGCCCAGATCATGTTGTTGTTACCCGTGTAACTGATCGGACCCACGCCGCCCTTGGCAGTGCGAGTGAACCTGAAATGAACCGACGCGGTCGGGATCAGTAACTAGCGAGAGAGAACGCAAAATATTTGGAGGCGCAGGAGCAGCAAGGACGAGCTATCGGTTTTACTAGGAGGAGGGTTTCGACACGGCACGAGCGTGGAAGTTACCGACATGGTGACCACCATGGATTACGGAATGTAGCGCAGCGCGCGGAACGAAACTCACTTGACGATCGTGCTGTCGGCAGAGGTAACCACGGATTTCGCAGAGAGCTTCACAGCGGTCGTCTTCTTGATCTTGCTCAGAACCTTGCCGCTCATCGAATAAGCCAGCACGTTGTTAGGCGCGGCGGCGGCGAGATTCCCGACGACGGCATCGGCGGGAGACATCATGCCGGCCTTCTTCGTCCAGCCGACGGAGATCCAGCCGGTTTCTCCGCCGCTGCCGGCCTTGGCCTCGACGGCCGCGACGATCCCGTTCTTGTTCTTGGTGACGTTCCAGTGGAAAAGAAGCAGGCTGCAAGATTGAACAGGGGCCATAGGAAACGACGAGGAAAAATAAACATCTGTGACGGAATGACGGTCAGAGGAGCGAGGTAATGTGGGTGTATTGTTAAACGGTTGGTAGAAGTCTGAACAGAGTGAACGGACAGCGATCCATCATGGTAGGGGCTTGCAGGGCCGTAGCAGTCGCACGAAACTAATTCGAGCAAAACATCTCGCGCCGGTGAACGCGGTTTTCGATCGTCCGACGAAACGAGACTGAGTCAGTACTAGCAGGACGCGTATAACGTACCCATCAGCGGTGAGCTTGACGGACTTGGCGTATCCGGCTAGAGTCGATGCGGTGCACGCTG